ATACATATTTGTATTATTGAAAAATATAGTATAAATATATAAAATATAATACAAAAAATTGGTTTAATAAAAGCTATATACTGTATATTGCATGTATTGTAAATTGAATATCAAGTGAAAAAAATGAATATGATTCTTATACTTTTGTATATCTATATTTCTCCATAAACTAACTTAAATATCAAGAGAATAAAAGAAGAGAAAAAATATATATATTTTTTTACATTTTGTATATCTATATTCTTCTATATGTAAATGAATATCAGGAAAATAAAAGAAAGAAAAAAATAAATATATTTCTTTTATATTTTGTATATCTTTATCCTTTTAGAATATCATTTATACCTATGTTGAATATTGAGAGAATAAGAGAAGGAAAAAACAAATATATTTCTTTTACATTTTGTATATCTTTATCCTTCTAGAATGCTATTTACATATATGTTAAATATCAGGAGAATAAAAGAAGAAAAAAAACAAATATATTTCTTTTATATTTTGTATATCTAGAATACCATTTATATATATATTAAATATCGGGAGAATAAGAAAAGAAAAAAATGAATATATTTCTTTTATATTTTGTATACCTTTTCCTTCTAGAATGCTATTTATACATATGTTAAATATCAGGAGAATAAAAGAAGAAAAAAAATAAATATATTTCTTTTATATTTTGTATATCTTTATCTTTCTAGGATGCTATTTATACATATGTTGAATATCGAAAGAATAAAAGAAAGAAAAAATGAATATATTTCTTTTATATTTTGTATACCTTTATCCTTCTAGAATACCATTTATATATATATTAAATATTGGGAGAATAAAAGAAGAAAAAATGAATATATTTCTTTTACATTTTGTATACCTTTATTCTTCTAGAATACTATTTACACATATGTTAAATATCGGAAGAATAAAAGAAGGAAAAAAACAAATATATTTCTTTTATATTTTGTATACCTTTATTCTTTTAGGATGCTATTTACATATATGTTAAATATCAAGAGAATAAAAGAAGAAAAAAATTGAATATATTTTTTTACATTTTGTATACCTTTATCCTTCTAGGATGCTATTTATACATATGTTAAATATCAGGAGAATGAAAGAATGAAAAAAATGAATATATTTCTTTTATATTTTATATACCTTTATCCTTCTAGGATGCTATTTATATATATATTGAATATCAGGAGAATAAGAGAAGAAAAAAACGAATATATTTCTTTTATATTTTGTATATCTTTATCTTTCTAGGATGCTATTTACACATATATTGAATATCAGAATAATAAAAGAAGAAAAAATGTATATATTTTTTATACCTTTTGTATACCTGCATCTTTCCATTATGCTATTAACATGTAGGATGAATATCAGGAAAGTATTAGAAAACAAAAGGTATACCATTTTGTATCTAATATCTAACTTTTATTTTACCCTAATGCTAATATCTGTTAGTTTATCATTATTCTTTTTTCAAAATGCATATCGGGTAAATAATGGGTCAATAAAGGTATATCCCATTATTTAACCATTTTTCATATATTTGACCTGTATGCAAAAAACTTTAATTATCTTAGTAATTGGATTTTGATAATTTTGAATTTATTAGAATCCTCTTATCAAGATAAATATTTTGGTAGTTGTTTTATTTAAAACAGACTAGTAGATCATTTACTGCTAAAAAGATATCAAATTATATTGTACAATTCCAAGAAGAAGCTTGTTAATATATATCAACTTCGTTAATTAAAAAAAATATGAAATATGCTCAAGCTATATCAAAACTATCCCCCGTTATTATCAACCCAAGCATATTCCAAATGGGTTGATATTAGCGAGGTTGAATGTACTATGACTACCCTAACTATAAACTTTAAACTATATATATATACATATAAATTGATTTTATGTTACGCGAATTTACAATTATTGTTTATATAGAGCTGCGATATACAAGTGTATCGCATAGTGCGATGTATACATTTATTCTTATTAAAAATGGCAAATTAATATATATATATATACCGAAATTTGTATAAATAAAGCAAATAACCTAAATCTCAATGACAAACAATCTTCTATAATAGGAATTACGGAATTAAATATCTTTTTTTTTAAAAAAAAAAAAAGAAAAAAAAAAAATGTCGACCGAACGGGAAAAAAGAGCGAGACTCAGGTAATAACTGATACATTATTACTGAAAATTTAACTGTTCGTCCAACATTTACGCTCAGACTTTTCCGCCTGCCTATACTAAATTTGTATAAACTCTGACAACCTTATTAATTTAATAAACCACGAAAAATTTTTCTTAAGCCATGCCTGCGATCGTTGTCGAAAGAGGCATGTTAAATGCGACGGTGACTATCCCATTTGTGGAAACTGCAAGTCCGTAAATGGAGAATGTAGTTATAGTCATCCAGGCAGCAAACGAGGTTATGTAGAAACGATCGATGATAGATTGAGCAAGGTATTCTATCAGCGATAGTAGTCGTCGTTTAGATTTAACGATCATTATATTATCATTACACAGTCTTTTATTTTTACTATCGCTTTAGATTGAACATGTATTAACGAAATACCTGGAAGGTGCCGATGCTCAACAGCAAGCTATTATTCATAAAGTCCCAGATAAAGCAGCTGAAGATCCAGAAATTGATGTGCATGACACTGTAAATAAGATGAATGCAAATTTGCAAACAAGTGTGCTAGTTGATTCAATGTCTTCACTTTCATTGAAAAAGAGTAGTAGATTTATTACTGTTATACATAAAGATGATCCATCTGAAATTAATGAAGGCAGTAGCGTTGTCCCCGAAGAATTCCAACAATTCGTCGAACCTCCACTTCCGGAGTCTTACAAGGGTTCACAAGAATTACCTCCAAAAGACCTAATGGATCATTTGATACAAGTCTTCTTTACTCGTAGCTACGGATCACGAGCTGCTATTATACATAAACCAACATTTATCAAGACGATTAATGATAAAAATAATAAACCTTCTATTTTCTTATTGAATTCTATGATGGCTTTAGCAAGTCTTCTTACAGATGATCCGAGAACACGCACAGATCCGGAAAAACCGGAAGCTTCCGGCGACATCTTTTTTGAACGTGCTTTAAGTATAATATCCATTTTATATTAATCTTGACGATAAATCAAAAAAAAAAAAACAAATAAACTCATCCGGAAATTTTATCTTATGAATCACAGGCCTAATGGATGATTTCATGGACAGAGCTCGCCTTTCTACCGTACAGGTTTGCCATATAATCTAAATAAATTTTCTTTAGTCACCGTTCAAACTTTATCCGATAAAACTTTAAATAAATTTTCAGGCTCTTTGTTGTCTATACAACTTTTGTGTAAAAGATGTGAGTTTCCTTATTCCCTGATAGTTCGCTTTATCATTAGCACACTGTTATTAAAGTTTTTTAAATTCTTAAAGAGTAAACATTCTTGTCGTATCTGGATGTTCATCGGAATGGCTGTCAGAATGTGTATGGATTTGGGATTACATCGTGACTGTTCGAAATGGCCTATTAGCAAACTTGAAAAAGCAATTAGGACTAGAGTTTTTTGGTCAGTCACGAATGCAGAAATTCTCGCATGTGCTTCCCTTGGGTATATTGAATATTTTAATTTTCTTGAAACTTTTATATCAATAATTTTTTTGTATATTCATATATATATAATTGATCATATTAGTAAACCACTTCCTATATACGATTACAATACTAAATTACCGTACGAGATTGATGAAGATGGTGATGAAGCCCAATATATTATCAATTTCTTTCATCATTCAAAACTTATAAAAATATACGGTAATATTTTACACTCAAAACCTTACTTCTATCAATCCGGATTTTTGCGTAACACATTACCAGCCATTGATGCCACCCTAAGTTCTTGGTTGTTAGCTTTACCTCCTCAATTACAATATAATCCAAGTACCGTTAACGAACCAGATCCTCCAATATCACCTTATACTGCCTATCTACACCAATTGTATTATACTGTTGTCATTGCTCTTCACAGGCCATACATAGATTCAGATGAATTTCCGAATATTAATTCACAAAGCGTATGCAATCAAGCTGCAATAAGTATCACAAAATTGTGCAGTTACATCCCCCCAAATAGATATACATTAGTTTCCTACGGAGTTATTGTTTATTCCATAGCACAGGCTTGCTCAATACATTTAATTAACATGAGTGATTTGGATTCGTATAAAATTGGAAAAATGTACATGGAGAAATGTCTTGAATATCTTGAAAGTTTGATAAAGGAAACTCGATTAGGTGATCTAATCAATTGCGGTTTAAAGCAATGTTATGAACTACTAAAAGCTTTGTATGATATGCAATTGTCTAGAATGGGGGATCCAAAAGTTTTGGCTCAAAAATCTATCAAAGGTGGTTTGGATGATAACGAGAATGACTATATTAATGTAGATGGTGTTGATCAAGCTCAAGTGATTCCTACTCCATCTCCATTAATGCAGCAAGATCCTATTGACATTAGAGGTGAATCTAACCTGTCGGTCCCAACGCCTGTTATCAGAACCAAAAAGTCTCCAACAATAAAAAACCATACGCGTAAACAATCTTCAAAAAATACTACGTCCGCACCATCATCTCATCAACAAATGACACAACCTACTTCCCACAAATCTACATACGTTGATCAACTTTCACATCGATTAATTCCATCATCTTATTTAACTTCGTTGCCTCATGATTCCCCACGGATATTTAAAATAAATCCTACACCTGAACCATCCCATCAATTTCAACAACCACCCAGCCACCATGTTCAAGGTGGCGAATTGCCAAACCACCAATATATGGATATGTCCACTATGGTGTCCTTGGGTAGATCGCTTGCAGAACCACCTGTTGTTCCGTCGTCAAATTATTATGGGACCAACGAGCTTAATCAAAATATGATTGAATTCTCTCAACATAGTTCTGATAATGTTTATTTAGGTGAATGGGAAATGATTGGTGTTAGTACACATCATCAAATTTCGAATACAAACATAAACAGCACTGTTTCGTTTAATCATCCTTCATTAACAAGTACTTCGTCGATTTCTATGATGGGGTCATCATCTGACTCAAATTCCTCTTCTCATCAAGATCAAACATCAAATTACATGTCATTTCCCATGAACAATGATCATAATTCATCCATTTTACTAAATAGTAATCATACTATAATGAACCACGGTACACAAGATTTAGGTGAAAGAGGTGATGGATCAGGATTTCGATCCGATACTTTTTTTTGAATTATGACATTACTGCATAGTTTGGGTTTGAAATTGAGATTTCTATAATAATCAAAGTCTAATTTAGTTCAACAATGTAAATTTCAAAAACCAATCAAATTTGTTAAATCAACACTATAAATTAAAACTTTATTTTTATTGTATTTAACGGCTAAGCATGATTTATTGATATGTCAGTCTCGGATATTACAAATTTGGGAGATCGCTAAAGCACGTGATTTTTGAAGTTTTAATTGTAATTAGGGTTAGGGTTAGTTTAGTGTTAGGGTTAGTAGTGTTAGGGTGAGGGCAGGTATATAGATAAAATTCCCTTCCCGACATTTTTTATTAATGTACCAAGACCATATTTTTTTGATTTTTGGTGATCTACATATAAAAAGCCACATGGGTACAAGGCCTTAGCAACTGGCAATTTTAAGGTTAGACCCGGGGTTAGAGTTCCGCAAAATGGATTCGATTCGGGATTCGATTCGACGAATCCATAGGCTAACTTTCTCGTGATTGGTAGATCACATGAAATTGAATATCGTTTTATGATTGGTCATATGCGCAAACATG